ATTCAAAGCCCACGAAAATTTGGAAATCCTTCTATAAAACTGTATCGGTAAAATATCCCGTAATTAAAAACAAGTACCGTATATAACCTCAAGACCCATTAATTGATGCTATAGCTGCAATTTTTAACAAGTTATATTCACATTTATTAAAACCCAATGAAAATATACAAATGACTTTATTTTATAGCTATTCTGATTTGTTAAAATTAACTACTATATGTGCATTATTATTATATTCTTTCAATATAATCTTTCATTGGAACCACTTAAATATTGGAAAATCTGAAGTCCAGTAGGTTCCAGATTCAAGTTAACAACAACACAGCTAAGTATTAGTACTTTCGTGATTTAAAACTTCATTATTTCCGTTATTATTTAAAGATTCTACATCACCCTCATCAAATCCTGAATCCATCCTTTCCTTCTTTCTTTGCTCATACCATCTATGTTTACGTTCTTTACTTTTTAAAATAGATAATTCTCTGGCAATTTCAGCTCGTTCTTTTTCAACTTCCTCCAAAGTTAATTCTACTTTTTCTAATCCATCCGGATCACCCGTTTTTAATCTCTTAAGTTCTTGAGTAACAGTATATTGTGTTTCTTTAATTTGTAATTTACGTTCAAGCTCTGAAATACGTGCATTACGACTTTCACTATTCTGAGCTGCGTGTGCATTTCGTTTTTGTATAAGAGTTGCGCGAGACGTTTTCACCCCAGGTTTTGGCGCATTTGGATTCAATTTAGATCGAGATTGACCTCGTTTATATGTATACCCTTCTAACAAAAGCTTAGCTTTTGCTTTTTCGAATAAGGTACCTTTGTTAGCAACTAAAGCCGGATCAATAAGTGCCAACTCAATAGCTGCACGATTAATTGCTTGTTCATATGTTGTTAATTTTCTAGGGCTATTCTTTCCGTATATTGTCGCGTGATGTATAATGACATCTTTTGAAGTTGTTTGTGCTGAATTCGTAATCGATGTAGGTAGGGTAGGTGAAATCGGATGGACGTCTTG